ATCTTTGTAAATACACTCACTCGCTCAACCACCGCCGCAGCCAAAGCCACAACCAGTCGTACGTTTATTTGCTTCCTTTGGCTTGCCTGTGTCTTCTGCTGCTGCTGCTGCTGCTTAACGCCCAGCGCGCGCACACACTCACACACTATGCGAGCGCGCCACCTTATGCCACCACCTCTCTTGCCACTCCGACCCACCCCTCTCTCAAACTTTCAACGCTTCTTTTGATTCGCGTTGTCGATTTTTCGTTGTCAGTTCTCGCATCTCGCTCGCACTCCTTGCGCATTCAATCGGTGCGCTGCTGTCGCGAGTCCCTGCCTGCTTGGCTGCCTGCAGATACTTTATTTATGGCCGCAGTAGATATGAGTCGATGACTACAACGACGGCTGTGTAGTATCTTGTAGATATATTTTTGTACGATGTACAAACACACACACACACACACCAACGTTCAAGCAACCGGTTCAACGCTGGCTGGCTGGCTGGCTCTTCAACTGGCTATCAACTATTACTATTTGCTTGCTGTCCGTTCAACCATTCAGTACAATTGACTGCACTTCTCTTGTCGTTGTTGTTGTTGTTGTTTTTGTAGTTGTTACTCTATATCTGCGGCAAGTCAACAGAAATAGCAGCAGCCTGCCCACTTTAATGATTATCATTATTGCCGATGTTACGCTGCTGTCGCTGTTTGTTGTACCAATTTTGTTCGTATGTATGTATGGATGAATGAATGAATGTTTTTCACATGCTCCTCTTGCTGTTGTACGAGTACAAACAATATCTTGTAGGTACATTCTCGTGGTGAGCATGAATGAGCGAATGTACGCACATGCATGCATACATACGAACAGGCGTGCGGCTGCCACCAGTGTTGCCAGGTCGACGATTTGGTCGTTATTTTGAAGATTTTTTTACGGCCATGACGATTTGACGTTTTTTCTTATGGTTGGTTCTCAACTTTGAAGATAGTTTTACAGACAACTAAAAATTGCAGTATAAACACTTGTATACCATTTCTGCTAATACATAATTGTCATATCCAAATTAAATCATGTGGCAGCACTAACCGTAGTTGTCGATAAGTAGTTTTCTGCTTTGTTTCATCACTATTTGTGCACTTTTAGGGGTCAAATTCATAGTTTTTCGCCGTGTACTGATACATATTTTTTGAGCGAAGGAAATTATAAATAAATTGTTCAGCAAAACTTGGAAGTATGAATAGTTTTTAATGCACATGTTAAAGTTGCAGTTCGCTAACATTTGATGTTCTCTTAACCGCAGCTGTCGAGCCAGAAGATGCTGCTTTGCAAGAAAACTTAACGCTTGAAGGAGTTTTGGTTGCACGGGACTTACTAAAAGGAAACGGTTGTTCTTGTTTTGAGTTTTATCCAAACACCGATATACTTAAAAGTTTCAAAAATTAAATGTAGCCTTAAAAATTGTACCTGATTAAAGCTTAGCATACAGTTCTCAATAAAATCGAAAAATTCATATAAAATCACACTCAAGAAATGAAAAAGAAATTTCCATCTATAAAAATTTCTTAAATCAGTCTGAATATCTCAAGAAAAAAAACGCTCGTATACTTAGTTCTTTAAGAAAATTTATACCAACGGCAAAGGTCTTTTTCGAGCAACAAAAATAATGAAACAAATTCTTTTTATTTTTTCTAGAAAGCTTTATACATAATATGAACTATTATATGACTTATCCAAAGTTACACTAATCAATTCTAAATTTATCAGACTTTTAAAGTTAAATTGTTTAATTTTCCGAACAAAATTGTGTAATTTTATATTTTAACAGGCTGATAAATTTATAGTTGATTGGTTCAGCCGGGCGTTAATGATCTAAAAATTAAGAAGAAAATGCGATTTTATTGCAATCAAAAACGTTTTTAGTAAAAGAAATGCGAATTTTAAAAATTCGTTAAAACGTTTAACTTTTTATGTTTTACGTACATCGATCAGAAAATAACCTTTTGATTATTTTAATTTTTTATATGTTTACATGCTAATGACGATTTTTGAGAAACAAACTGACCATTTCTCACTTCACTGGCCTGGCAACACTGGCTGCCACTCACACCAACAGCAAAATTTGAAGAGCTGCAACAAAAGTATCAGAGAAAAGAAAAAATGTAAACATTTTTGAAGAGAGCAGAGTGCATTACAAGGACTGACAAGATTTGTGCATACAAAGGGTGGAAGGGGTGGCGAGTAGATTAGTTAAAGATAACATATATACATATGTACTTCGTTATGTTTTTTATTAATTTTTTCTACTTTTTAACCCCTGGAAATTTACAAGGATTTTCTCAACAAAAATTTTTTTAAAATTATTTTTAGTGGTTTGCAGTTAATAAACTCACATAAAATAAGTTATCGTTAAGATGTTAAATAGCCGTCGGTGTAAACACATCTATAGATCTACAATTAAATGCTTCGAAATCCCGGCTGGTTGATGCCCTCGCGAGAAAAATGCCAGACACCACCGCCACACCAAAAATGCAGGGCGTGGCAAAGTGAAGTGATCAAACCATATGAGGGAGCAAAATTCCGCAATTTATCTCGTTGAACGAACGTATCACCGCAATCCACAAGATTTTTAAGCACCTCAATCAGTAACGCCTACGCCACGGAAGAACCAAAGATCTCTCCTGTGAGCACTTGGAGCGCACTTAACCATAATATTAGAGTGGCAAGTAAAGGGGTATTTGGTCTCAGTATTGGTAAATTCAGCCTCCACAAGAAAACGTTTGATAGAAAACTGATGGACTACAGCAGGGCCCAGTGTTCGAGACCTACATATTATGTTGCAGCCCAGATACCAAACCGTCGAAAAAGTACATAGCTGCAATTTCTGGGAACCTGAAAGAACAGCTGTTATGTCTGAATGTCAGAGACCTGAGAAATAATAAACCAAAGCGCTCAGTTGAGGACGATGGAGTTGATGTCACACTACTAGACCATGTATCTCTCAGGAAATGTCTTTAAAGGATCATGGAATTATTGGTAAAAATCGTAGGCCGCAACAACCGGACTTTTGAATCAGTATTTTCGAAGTGGGATATAAAAACAAAGCTAAAGTGTTTGGAGGTGAACGAAGCTAAGGCGCAATACATTATCAAACAAACACCAAGCGTATTCGCAACGCGGCGCTCAAGCCTACTAAAGAAGGTTTCTTCTGTGCTGAAAATACCAAGTAGGTAACTAGAAACGACTGGCGGTTATAGCGCCAATCAAAACAAAAAGAAATACATAAACGGGCATGGATTAGGGCCGGGAGTTCTAACCGCATTTTTTGACTATCCGGATAATTCTAATATTCGATTATCTAATTAATGAAATGTTCTATAATATATTTTGCACGCGATCGACTCAGTTCTACAATTTTATGAGTGAGTGAGAATGATTTTATGAATCCATTCAAATACTGTTTAGAATTTCCGTATATCACGCACCTTCGAATAACTAAATCTACGGATATTATTCTTATATTAGCATAGGTACACGAATATCCGGATATCGGCATATATAGATAGTCCCTGCCCTAGAATGTACAATAACTAAAAAAAATATTAAGTATACCCATTTTTTGCTGTTATTCAAAATTTTCTTTCGTGCCCTTTCCTGAAAACAGTCAAAAGATCCGATTTTGTGTTTTTTTTTTGTGACAGATCATTTAAAATGTGTTTTCGAAATTTACAGATCTCCTTAACGTCATTAAACAATGCATAGCATAATAATTTTTTTTTCGCCTCATAGGAACTGAAGTTGAGTTCAATCTAGTTTAAATGAAGTATCTCAGATTTTACTGGCCGTTTGGTAACTCGGATCCGGCAAGTACGATCATTTTCCTGACAACAAAATCTTGTAACGTCTTCACGACGTGAACATTTATGATTTTCGCAAATTATCATTGAATTAAATTTCGTCTCTATATTTTGCCTTAATATATAATACACGTAGTAGTACATACTTGCCTGCCACTGCGGTTATTCCTATCACAGCATTTTAGCAGCATACTGTTTCTTCACCTCCTGACAGCACCCGGTGTGACACAACTGCACTGCTTAGCGCGATTCGCCTGGTCTTGTACAGCATGTTTATTGCTGTTCTTGTTGTATGTTTCTGAACTCCTTGTACCTACCATGCCACACCGCAGCACAGCGCGCACTCATTTACCATTCTCATCATTATTTGTTAGTGTTATTTGTGTTGCTGTTGTTATAATGTTTTATCCACTTCTTGTTCTTCAATTTGCTTTTGATTGTTGCTACTCTTATTACATATGCTGTATTTAACTTTTCTTATAACTCTCTTAGCGCAGCGTACACCGCACACCACCGAACTCCGCTCAAATGATTTTTCACATGCAAACACACACACACACACAACGGCTTGCATACGACTCCAACAATACCTACAACTCACCGCTCAAATGCATTTTACGCGCTCTATACTTCTGTGTGTTTGTTTACACAGTTTTTAATGCATTTCATATTGGATTTTCTTGCGCTCTCAGCTCACTCGCTCTGAGTAGCTTTTACTGCATGCATGCATGCATGTGTCTGTATGTGGTGGTGGTGTAGCTGTGTGTGGGTTTTGTGAATTCGCTCACCGCTTTCCTCTAACATTTATCCCTTGCAGTATGCTACGTAAAATGTGTATGCGCACGCTTGTGTGTGTGTGTGTGTGTGTGAGTAGGTGTGTGTGTTTGTTTGTCTCACTGCTGCGATTGCCTGTTGTTTTCTTGATGTACTCTCATGTACTGGTGGTTGTAGTTGTTGTACGGCACTCGTTATTGCTACGAATATTGCCATAGTAGCACTCAACCCACCACTGCCGCTGCCATCTTCACTAACACCAACACCCGCAAGCAAGCTAGCCATGCTATCACCATTATCGTTGCTTTACTTGTTCTGCGTTATGTTGTTGCNCTTCACTAACACCAACACCCGCAAGCAAGCCAGCCATGCTATCACCATTATCGTTGCTTTACTTGTTCTGCGTTATGATGTTGGTGCTGTTGTTGTTGCTGTTTTTCTTATTGTTATTGTGGTTGTACATCGTGTCGTTGTTGATGTTGATGTCGATGTCGTAGTTCGTTGTCGTTGTCGTTGTACATGCATTGCCTGGCTTGCTGTTGCTGTTGTTGTCGTCGTCATCATCGTCGTGTCGTCGTGTTGTAATTCCCATTTGTTGTACAACTTTGTACTTGCTCATGTTGGAAATTCATGTTAGTCTACTTTTGACTGTTACGCAGATTGTTTGCATCGTGGTACCGTGTCGCTCGTTTGCTCGTTGGCTCGTTGGCTCGCACGCTCCGCCGTACGTTCGATCGAATGGCCAGTTGTTTAGTACGCGTTTGCTTGCTAGTAGTAGCCGTTTGCTGCTATTGAGACACTAGTACCTACATACATACACACATACGTAGTGGAAAAAACGCTCGCCCACCGGCCCGCCGCCATCAATCAGTGCTGTCAGCACATCTCACCACTCACTGGTTCAGTTGACCAACAATTCGCGCTCGCACGGGACTATTCGTAGTGTTCAATGAATTTGTGCGGAAACAAGTGATTGAATTAATATCTACAAATTTTGAAACTAATTTACTACTAAATAGGTACTAAACGTGATTTTCAATCGAAACTACGAATATTACGGCGCTTAATTAACTCAACTTTTGTGCGCGAATAGCGGAATAGCGAAAAAAGAAACAGTGTAATCGCGCGTGTGCAAGAAAACTTGAAACTTGCGACGGCAAAAGTGCAACGAGGCGCAGAAAAGCTGTAAAAAAAAAGCGCCGGTAGCCGTAACTACTTTCGATTTAACCGCAAAACTATTAGCTTTAAAGGGGATTAACTAATCGGAAACTGCAATGATTTCCATAAATTAAAAAATTAAGTGCACCGCCAGCCAGCAACAAAAATAAAAAAAAAAGTTACATTCTTGCATAATTAGTGCAGTGAAGGGTCGGTGATTTCCCACCCCACCTATGCCGTGCCGTGTGATTTAAGTGTAAATTTTCCATAACAATAAACCAAAAAAAAAACGTGCATATTTAGTAAAACTTCGAGTAATGCAAGCGAAAAAATTTTAGTTGTAGATAATCGCCTGCGGTTTTATGCCGACCGACGCTTGCATACAGAATTGAATTAGTTTTAATTTTTTATATATTTTCGCCGAATCATAACATTAAATGACAGTGCACAGTAATGACAGTGGTGTGTGTTTAGTAATGGTGCGTATATTTTTTAAATATTTTCTAAAATTATTTCTCATATTATCTAGTTAGTACCTACCGAAAAACAGTTAGTTATCTAGTGTGTTGGCAACTCAAATAAATTCTTGCTTTGGTAGTCTGTTGGACAATTTCAAAGTGTCTAAGGCCCTATTTCTCAAGTAAGTTTTAAAATTTAACTGTCCTTCGATCTACATCTTTTGAGAACAAAATTCATTTTTAAAGGGCAGATAAATTTTAAAACGCGCTTAAGAAAACGGTCCTAAATATATTTAGCTTTTCATAAAAAAAATTTATAATTATTTCTAAACTTTAGAGAAAGAGCGCAGAAAGACCAAAAATATAGCGAGGCTTGATTGAGGCTTTATGCCTCAAAATTATTTTGTATACTACATACTTTTCTGCAAATGAGGGAATCAACTGATTTATGCCGCCCTCGAATGTCGAATGGTAGTGCTTATGAAGGGAATCTTTCCTCTCTGAGTTTGAAGATCGCCTGCCGAACCTGGCGATCACTGATAAAATCAGTAGTTTTCTATAATTTCATGTTTCATGCCCCTGCCGTTCCAATGGGTACCCAATGAATGGTGTCTCAGCACTGACAACAGAAAAAAGTCCAAATAACTGAACGTCTGGAAGCATTCAACTAAGTGATTGCTCTGAATTCAGACATATTTTGAATGGTTTGAATTTCATAAGATTATTAAATTCGATGATAGAAATTTATGAGTGAAAAAGTAATTTATGACAGTTTCAGCATTTTTCGTATAAGCATTCCCAGTTTGATTTTTCTGTTCTGTTATAAATCACGTTTTTAGTCATAAATTTCTATCACCGAATTACCCAAATATTTTTATTTAAAAAATCGGTTCCTGGTGTATTTGTTTGTACGTAATTTAGCAGTACAAAATTCTGGTGTAGGTGTGCTCGCAATTCTTCTCCTCAGCCGCTTTGATCGATTTTAATTAGATTTTATGTTCGGTGTTATGGAACCACACGAATGGGTGTGAGTTACAATTGGATCCCCTAGGTGAGGTTGGAGCCGAGATACAAAAGAATTTATAGTCCAATCTGACTCACAATTGGATTATAGGGTAGATATGTATGTATATTAGCCCAAATATTTGCGCAAACGAATGATTGATGAGGTGGCTTTGGGGTTGAGATATTTGTAAAAGCCGTATTTTCCGTTGGCTTCTTAAGATGGTCAATTCTAAAAAAATGCAGGGCTGCGAGTGTCGCTTAAATCGATTTTTTTTTTGCGAAATTCATACATTTGGCTCATATAGAGATGTGACATATACGAGGAAATAATTTCATCCGCTATTTAAAAACTATTGGCGATCGGATTTCCCTCGATAGATGGTGATGAGTGTACATAAAACGTTCGTGGTTTAGCTTATCAATGTCCGAGAAGGCTGATGAGCTCATTAGAACCCAATTCATGATTCGTGCCAGAAATTCATATACTTATACGAGTATTTTGAATTGCTTTTGAAGTTATTTGAGTACCACTTGAATGAGTATAAGTGTAAAATAGCCTTCGGAGCCTTCCATTATCTAGAATTTTTGGATAATAGGGCGGAAAGGTGCTTAAAGAAGTAAAAATGGGTTATTTTATCAGTAAGATATATTATGGTAAAAGGAGTGAGTTTCATTGTAGGGTGAAATCTAGAAAGACAACTTTCTTATGCTACTGCATTACGAACAACGCTCAATGTATGTATGTATTAGTGGCAGATCCAGGGGGCGAAATTGCTGTGTGCTTAGCTTGAAGTATCATGTTATTTGAGTAGGCCTATCAGTTTTTCGAATTCAGTGAATTTTCAAAATTTTGAAATTATGTACTTAATTTTAAATCTTTATTTTTTTGTTGTATTTTCGAATTTGTTTTATTTTACACAGTTAAAAGTCACAGCAACTTTAAATATTTCACAGGTTTAGAAAACAACGGGAATTTGGTAAAATGAGAATATTTTGAAATGTACAAAATTATTGAGATTTTAGAAAATTTTGAGAATTTTATTTATTCTAAAATCCATTCTATAATGTAAAAATATGAAACATGACATATTGTCGAAAAATTCTTATGTTCATGGTACTTGTGTTTAAAAAATAGAAAATTCTTAGAATTCTAAAATGTACAGATTAACGTATTTGAAAAATTCCAAAATTTTTCCTCTTTTCTGAACTGTTCCAAAATTTTGTAGATACTGATATAACAAAGTTTGAGAATTTTAAATTTTTTGAAAATTTTGAAAACAACAACCAAAATTTTTTTGATTCTTCAAGAATTACGAAAATTTTTAAATTTTCAAAAACGACGAAATATGAAAATGTTTTCAACAATCCAAAACTTTTAATTTGGTTTGTTCAATTTTGTATATTCGACACTTTTACTTAGGTAAAATTTGTTAGAATTCCTACAATTGCTACAATTCTCAAAATTTTTGAAAAACAAATTCTATTTTCTAGAAGTCTAGTATTCATCATCATATTGAATTATTGTGATTTACTAAATTTTCTCAAATTCACAAAGTTTTGAAAGTTTAGAAAATTTTGAAATCCCAATCAAGTTATCTAAAATGGGAAACTTCAGAAAACTCAAAACTATCAAAACTCTAAAAATTTTAAAAAAGTTTTTAAAGTATGAATATACTGACATCTTTTTAAACTTATTCTTCGCAGAATATCACTTTCTCTAATCATTTTTCAAACCTCATTTTGCTGCGGTTTTTGTAATCATCTGGTTATACTGTAATTTAGAGCCAACGTAAAGCTAACTGAAAGTCTCTCGTTCAAAAGATGCTCATCCAAAAGGCATCGTTATGCGCGTATAATTTGTTTGTTTCGGTGCTGCCAATCAATAAGATTGATACCCGAATTAAAGTGGATGTTTTTGATTCGAATATTGTTTTTTTTTATAGTAATGGAAGTCAGTTTTAGGAAACCAAAGGTGGTGAATATCAGATGAAGAAAATATTTATACGGATGCCACTTTACCCAAAGCACTCTTGGCCTCTTTTTCTAACAAAAGTCATTTTCTATAAAAGCGAATAAGCGATATATTTTTTTTTTTTGTCAAAAACACCAAATTAAAAGCGCTTCGCTCCATTTTAACGATTACTTGTAGTTTACGATCATTTTTTTTATTATCCTAAACCGGAGTTATGAATGCGCGCAGCTGTGCTAAGCTATCGAGCTATTGGCTTTTAGTTTATTTTATGTACTTGTTTGCTTCATTTAAATGTGCGATAAAAATTTTTATTTGGGTTAGAGTTGAACTGAAAGCCGTTGCTTTAATGAATTCGTAATACACGTTTTATTATGATTAGATAATTTATGGATAGACCAAAGTGATGTGAAGAAGTCAAGTGAAGCTGCTTAATAAGGTAGCTAATTGCGAATGCATAAAAGTCGCAATGGATTGCTGGTAATCAAAATATGTAACTGTAGAAAAAAAAATTTGAATATCCCAATACACCAACCGTTATTCAGACACACTTCAAATTTGCTGTTACACCCACACACATTTAAATATTTCTGTGTGCTATGACTAAGCAACTCTTAAAAACCACTAAGTACATACATGTGTCAAAATATTATCACTCTTGTTCCACATAATATTATCACTTCATTGAATGAATGCAAATTTTAAAATAAAAATGCTGCAATAAGTAATATTTCCTATCACTTGG